TTTTTTTTTTTTTTTTTTTTTTAATGCCCATTCTGCTCTGGCTTGAAATGTGAAGCTTTTTAGAACTCTCTAGTGTACTACCTTTCCTATCTGTTTCCTTAGCTGATCAATAAACCCAGGCAATTAGGTCTCTTAGAATTTGGCAGAGGGACTACTTCCTAGCCCTCTGCTAATACTTCAGACCTTAGGGGCTGTTAATTGGTGTCCATAGGTTGGTATTATGGGCCTAATCCTCTTTCTTCAAAAATCTGTGATTTCACTAACTTCAGTGGGTAGTCCTAGTTCAAATCCTAATATCTGTATGATAATGAATGGTGATACTTGCAAATAAAGATATTTGTTGTTGTTTTTAGATCACAGCTTTAAAAATTAAATACAATCCATTTGCAAAGGCATTTCTTGATGCAAAAGAAAGGTGAGACCTCTTAACTCAATTCTAAAGTGTGGATTTTTTACATAGACTTGTAAAAGCATATTCTCAACTAACACAACACGGATTCTTTTATAGAAGTGATCACAAAGACATGATGGAGGAAGTGGGAGACAACCAGCAGTCTGGGTATTCGCAGTGTACGTTTCCTTTCATTGTGCATCATGAACATAACTTTGATTTCTTCCATCTCACCTGTTAAGCAAAACTTTGAGAGCAGTATTTGCTGGCTGGCTTGTTAATTCATAGGGAGAGTAATATCACCAGTCCTTATGACTGTGGGTCATGCAGGTTTATGATTGTATAAACATTAGCATCTCTGTGTGTGTGGTTAAAAGACTTCTGTATTACATTCAAAAACTTTTCATAGAAACTTGCAGTTACCTTCATGTCCAAAAAGACAGTCGCCTTTGTATACAAGAACAGCAATATTCATATGGATATGGAGACAAAAGTTTGTTTAAAAATACAGCAAAAAATAATTGAAATGGTACTTATGTTTTAAGTACTTTAAGAAAATTAGGGGCATCTGCTTAAAAAGTTTTTTTTCAGATGAATGAAAAGCATTAGTGTGTTAATTATTTCTGTTTTAACAGATTATTGCCAAAATATGTCTGCAGCCTATAAAGGGGAAGAGGTTGAGTTTCAGTACAAATTGTTTTGTTTCGGTGAAAATACTTAATTTTTAAGAGTTTGTCTGAGCAGTTTGATTTGATTGATTTGATTGAGACCCTCAAAGAGCAATTTAAATCTGAAGATTGCACTAAAAATTACCGAGCACACACTAGCTACATAAGGGAGGGTTTAACCATTTCCATGTTTCCTTACTGTGATTGTAATTAGATGGTAATTTTAAACATGTTAGCTTGACCTGGGGCCTTTTCTAAGCTGTTGTCTAATTTTCCTTCATAAGATCATTTAAGAAAGTTGTAAAGATCCAGGTTTTTCAGCCATGTTGAAACTCCATTTCCTTTCCCGAGTGTGCATTTCCTTGCTGATCAATTATTTATCTCATTGCTGTGATTCTTTCACTGCCTGGCTGCATTATGTACCCATCTGACAAACCCCTTGCTTCCCCACAGTAGGTAGTTGGCTCATTCCCGGGACTGGGACCCTGTGCCCACCTGCCAATCCTCACCCTCAGTTCGGAGCCCCCCTGTCGCTCTCCCCTGCTCACAGCTGTGAAAGGTACTCATCGCTGAGGAACCACCGTCCTGCCCCCTACCCCAACCCCTACGCCCATAGGAACAACTCACCAAGTAAGTCTGACTGTTGCAGCTCTGTAAAAAGATGGGAAATGAGCCGAATGCTGCGAGATTTGTGGTGGGCTTCTTGACTGAGGTCACTGTCTAGCACACAGGGCTTGAGGCCAGCATGGCAAAGAAATAGGGACGATGAGTACGTGTCCCCAGTCTCTTTACGATGGAAAAACTGAGGGTGTGAACTGCCTCCTTCTAATTGATTAGATTATATTGTGCTGGCTTTGCCTTGTGCTCTTGAATTCTTTTAACCCGTAATCTTAAATTTACTTTGACTTTTTTTAAGTTTGAAATTGAAGGTTTTAATAATTAGTTATAGTTAATACAACGAAATGAAGAAGTATATTTCTGGTTCTATTAGTTTCACTTGTTAACACATAATATTTGAGGGCCTGATTCTGTCAGTTTGGCTTGCCTGGTGCTGTAGTTAACAGGAGTGCATTAGTTAGTGCATTGAGTGGTTCTCAATGTGTCACAACTGGATACACAGAAACAGTGTGGAGCTGAATAAACTTTAAAGCTATTTAAATGTTGTGCTCAGAAATAGCCAAATAACTTAAGGCTTGGTGCCTTAAGCCGTGAGTACTTAAGGGAGAGGAAAGAAGGGCATTTTTAACAGTGATCTTTAATATTTAAAAAAATCCCTCCCCCCTTTCTTCTGCCAAAAGCCTATTAACAATTTTTTCCCTTCAGCCTATATGTATATTGAAGGCTCCCATTTAAAAAAAAAAAAAAAAAAAAAAAAGCTTCTAGATGCAGCCTGACCAATCTTGTCTGTAACTTTGTAGCTCATTTTAAAGTGGAAAACAAGCTTTCTGTGGACTTTTCTTGCATCTTGTAAGTTTTATGCAAGTTTTGTGACTTGAAACAGAATAAAAGAACAAAACACCTCCGGTGTTCATTCTTGTTCCCTGCTCCTTGGCAAGGAACCTCTTCTCCTTCCCTCCACCAGCTGCCACAGCAACTTCTTTCTCGCTATGGATGGCTGTATAGGATTCCCGTTGTAGCTTCCTAGTGTCTCTGCCGTGTTGGGCAGCCAGTGTTGGTCACAAGCTGCCTAGTTTAAGCCACAGTCCAATCACTCCTGGTGGTGCCTAAGGGAGACTTCAGAGCTCATGGTGGCAATGCTCAGCTCAAAACTGGGGTGTGTGATCCAGTAATATGCTTGTTATCCAGGGCTGCCAGACTGTTACTGCCAGTGTAGATGATGGAGGTAAAGAAGGTGCCCTGGAAGAGGGATTAATATAGTGTAAGTAAGGAGCCCATCTCCTCCCACCGACCAAATAAGAAAGCATGTGCTGAGTTAGCAGGTGGTTTGAAGACAGCTGAAGACAGTGGTAGATGACTTAATTTTCCTGCATGTGTGTAATTTTGTTTGGATTTTTTGCCAGGCAGTAATGGGGGGAGTGTGGTTTAGAGCCATGCATTGCACTTGAATACAAGATCATTATTTGACCTGAGTCTAGTGTAAGTGCTTGCTTGTTTTCTCAGCAGCCTATGCCGATAACTCCTCTGCCTGCCTTTCCATGCTGCAATCCCATGACAACTGGTCTTCCCTAGGAGTTCCCACACACACGGCAATGCTGCCCATGAGTCACAGCACCGGCACAGCTACCAGCTCCAGGTAGGAGTTCATCCCTCAGCAGCCCTCAACTCAGTGTATTGATACTTTCTAGGAGAAGAAAGCTGAAAAAGGAGGTGAAGAGTCACCAGCAAATTAGAAATCCTTATGGCCACGTGTAAATCATTAGCTCTTGGAGGGGAAGGGCACTAAGAAGGACTATTCACAAGGAAAACAGATTGAAGAAACAGATAATATTTTTTTTTTTTAATATTTTGGTTTTGGAATTGTAGATACTTGTGACAGCAATATTGGTAGATTAAGGATTGCAAATCACTTAAACACCTACCCATTGAATTTAAGGATGTTCTTTTAAGCTTAATCTATTTTAAGCAAAATGGTGTTTAAAAAGTTTATTTTTGATCTGTTTCTTCTTAGCCAGTCACTGCTTTCCCAGCCATCTCCACAAACCGTCATTCTGCTGCAAACAAAGGGGCAGTGAACTCTAGGGTAGAGAAGGAGCAAGTGTTTGGGGAAAAACTCTCTGCTTAAGCATTGCCATACAAGCCAACATAGCATGGGATTATACTTGTGGTGAAAGCCTTTGCCATTTTGTGATCGTATAAATGTATTTTTTCTCCTCTTCTTATTTTATCTTAAACTTTTGGATCCTTTAGCAGAGATTTAACTTACAGTCAGTCCCTTGGTGCTAAACCTGAAAATTCAGAGATGTAGATAAGGTGGTAAAATCTTTGCTATTAACCACAGAGGGTTGAGGTTTGGGCGTCTTTCTCAGAAATGCGGACCTACCACTCTGTGGAAAGCATTTTTATCTGAACCATGCACATGGACACTTAGCTGTTAATCAAAGTATATACTACTACCCAGTGTAAGGTAACTGTATTGCTGAACATGAGTTTTAGTCCTGAACATATGTTAATAAGTAAATGGGTCCTCCTAGCACTTCTTTCTATGTCTGACCCCCAGGATACTTATTTTGAAAGTTACGAAGTCCACTAACTTTAAGTTGCTACACTGAGTTGTCCAGTAGATAAAACCAGTAGAACTGGAACTGTGGGACTTCAAGAAAGGCCCTTCTGCCACCCCTTTTGTCTAAACCCCCTGTCTGTAAAGTAAGAATACATTTACCTTTCCTGTTAAACTGCTTGGGGTCAATAGGTTGAAAGTGTTCTGCAGTGGTATATAGCAGGACTGAACTTTTTCTCGTAGTGTTCCTCTTGAATCACCTTGTTTCTGTCAGTACGTGTGTGTGTGTGTGTGTGTGTGTGTGTACACACTCAGAGGGGAGAGAGTGCAGAGGCTGTTCTGTCCTGACGAGGGTTTTTTTCTTTTCAAGTAGCCCTTTCTGTAGTATCCGTGCAATGTGCAGCCATCAATCTGGCTCTTCCCCTTCTAACATGAGATGATGAATAAGGAGGGCTGAACTGCTGTGTAGAGGCATCCCTCCCTCTCTGACTACAGAGGCACTCAAGGGGGGTTAGGGCTCTGACAGACTTGTGGCAATGGATTCCAGCCTGCCTGGGTCCAACAGCTGCTGTGTCCGGCCACCTCTACCAGGTCCCTTTCCCCTGAGGCAAGGGTATGGCATGGCTCAGGAATCAGGTCTCAAACCTCTGCATTCCTCAGCCAGCCTGTTCATTCCTCAGCTTGGCTTTAAACTTGCTAGTATACGTAGTGCTGGAACCTGCTGTTGGAGAACAGGGAGGTTAGATTTATTGGTGGGGTGCCATGAACACAAATCCTGCCTGAGGGTCCTTCCTACCTCACAGTGGCTGGGAACTTCCTAAAGGAATCCACCGTCTTCATCAAGTGGACCCAGCCTGGCAGCTGTATTATGACCCGAGCAACTGTCAGCAGGCACTAGAGTCACTAATAACTTGTTTTATTTATCACTTTCCCTCTTTCAGTCAGTATCCTAACTTATGGTCTGTGAGCAACAGCACCATCACACCGGTGTCTCAGTCAAGCGGGATGTCCAATGGCCTGAGCTCCCAGTTCTTACGCGGCTCTCCAGCGCACTACACTGCCCTTCCGCACCCGGCCACGGCCACCTCCTCCGCCTCCCCCCTGTACGACGGCGGGGCACCCACGGACCTGCCCGACAGCCAGTATGATGCCTCTGCACATGCCAGGCTAGCATCCACGTGGACACCTGTCACCCCCCCTTCCATGTAAACCCACACCCTTTTACTAGAAGACAGACTTTTTAGCTACTGAATTACTCTAAATGCTTAATCCTCAAGGAAGAGAAAAAGGAAATGTGAAGTAGATTACAAAGCATCTGCACTGCTTTGCATAGAGCATCTACATCATACCTCTTATGGCGAACAGTGCATCGTTAACTTCATGTAGAGTTTACAAACCTGGTGAGCGTGCAATTCTGAGAGCAGATTCACTGCTTCTAATATTTTTTCTTTTTTTTTTTCTTTTAAGTTTGATAGACCTAAGTTTTAAGATTTTTACTTAGATTCCAAATTTCTCAGTGTTCTGATACACTTGGACCTGAAGTTTGGCATCGTTCTTGAGTAAGTTACTCCTAACTGTTTTTCAGTCAATTTTTTTAATGACAAACTTAGCTATAGTTATGAGAAAACTTTTATTAACCATCTAGTTAGAAGCATTCTGAAATATGCACAAATGTAGCTGAGGAGTGAAGTTTTTGGAAAATCATGTGCACTAACACGTATTTGCCTCACAAATACGTTGTGTTTTTAACTGTTTGCTTATTTCCTTGCTGCTGAATTAATGTCGAGACAATCTGCAAAAACTATATTCTTCCTAATAAACGCAGTATTAATGTTTGGTCTAAATCATTTTACCCAGAAAGACTCCTTTTAGAGGTAAGTTTTGCTGTTTGATCGTATAGATTTCAAATACCTCTCAGCTTAGCTAAACATCTCATTTCAAATAGCCAGTGTCTAATAAGGAGCCCTATCCAAAACCTTTTCAAGCCATTGGGTTTTTTTATGGTCTCTGGCTCAAGCCTTAAGGGAGGGAATTCAACATCTGGAGAATCATTCTAATTTATTTTATTTCAATATTGTACTCTGTCAATCTATATTTATTATTTGGTAAGTTACAACTTTATTTTCTACATGTTAAGATATGTAAATAATCCCTCAACCTACGATGTACTCTTAAGACAATCATACATGGGATATGTCACCCAATGGCACATTGAATAGCATGGATGTAAGTAGTTAACTTATTGTAAGAGGGAAAGCTATAGTTGCCAATAATTTTGGGGAAAAGTGCAGATATATAAGCTTAAAATACATCGACTGCTTGACTTGCTGAAAAGATCAGGTCTTGATAAAATATTTCCTTCAGGACTGATATTAAGTAATATGATCTAAATTTCTAATGTAGGCTAACCCAAAACAATGGCTCAAGGTGTGCTCTGGGACATGTCTCTCCCACTAACTCTGACAGGTACATATCCCGAGGAAAGTGAATTGTTTTGCATAAGCCATAAGATAACTTTTCTAATGAAGTGCCTAATATAGGGAAGCAAAATTCTATATCAGGGAATTCGTTAAATGACTCATCGATGTGTGCTCATGTGCTACACTGGCAGCTTTAAGATGAAAAGGCAAATATGTGCCACCATTTTGGTCTCTTTGGCACCCTATGGGCAGGTCCCTGCACCTAGAAAGACATTAGCGGGGCTTTCTCCCTGCAGAAGAATTTGTGTGCAACTGCAGGCTGCAGTCTCCCGGAGGTACTCCAGCAGGAGACAGCACCAGAAGCAGATCGCTGCATGACTGCGCTCTCTGTCAATATGTAAATACTGATCTAAGCGCTCCTATTTTATTGTGAAGGTAAATTGTGTAAATGATGTAAGTGATGATTATTTAGACAATTTTGTAGAAATTAGGAACATATTTCTTTGTGAGGTTTTTTTACTTGTATTTTGGAAGTATAATTTAAATTGAGGAAAAAAAAAGAGTAAAGATTCTTAAATAAACTCAGTGCTTAATTTTCAGTTTGTGGGGGTGGTGGGAAAGGTTAAACAAGTGCACATCAGATATGTTGAACCTACACTAAGTTGACCTTCCATGGAGCAATTTCACAAATGGTTCCTACTGTACAGCAGCTTCCGGATGTGGGCGAAGGGTCAGAGAGTCATGAAGAACTTAAACAGATCTCTTGAGATCCTACATTTTCCTCACCTGCTTCTTCCCTTCAACTTTTTTTTTTTTTTCCCCTTCCTTTTGGTAAATTCTTGACGACTGGTGGTCAGAGGTGGTAGCCACAACTGATGTTGCATGAAAGCTTTTTTTCCCCACAGTGACCAATTTGTAGGGTGAACCGTGGAGTTTAGATGCAAGCCTAGCAGCTGCTGTGTTCTACTTTGTTAACCAGATTTTCAAGTGTGTTTCTGAATAACCCCTCTCCAGTAAAGCTTTAAAGCAGACTGAGCATTTCAACATCTGTCTTTTCACACTTGCTCTGCCACCATCTTCTTCCTGAACTGTGCTTTTTCTCTTGCTGGGTTTGTGTGGCCAAGCAGTCATCAAAGGCACCTCAGATGCACCTTACAAATACCATCACGGTTGTAGTTGCTGGAGACAGTGGGCAGTCAGACCCAGATGACTCTACAGATACTCAAGCCAGCATGAAAACCACATGGATTTTGTGTGACTCATCTGTAGAGGCTTTTCTTTCCTGTGGGCTAGTGACAGCAGCACCGTGCTGCGCTCCCACCCCAGCTGCCTGGGGCTGGTGATGGAGGCGAGGCGGACACACAAACCAACATTTCCAAATGCTGAGGAAGGCTGGTGTGAGACAGCCCGCCTCAGCTGGCCCACCAGCGAGTGGGGCTCTGCGGTTTCCTGCACCAGCTCTACCCTGGCTCTTTGCTGCTCCTGTCACTGTGCCACACGCCAGACAAACACTGGGGCTAGAGACAGCTGCAAGGCTGGGAGAGGCTCAAATGCTCAGGGACTAAGCCACCAGAAAATTCTTGGGACTCCTAGGAAACATATACTGTTTACCATCTCAACATGTTAATGCTTTTTTCCTTTATTTTCCTTTGGGTAACAAATAGTTGTTCTCTCAGGCCTATTGTGCAGAAATTCTTGTTCTATCTGCAGAAGCCATGTGAATACTCAGTCCCCTGTCAGAGGAAAATGTGAGACTGGGTATTCCCATGCTTGTCTCCAGCTTGACTCTTCTCTGTAGACGTCAATTAGATTTGTAAGTGACATAATACACATTAAGGTACTACATCACTGATGTCAATAGTCCAAGCTGTAAATGTAATTAAAATAAAAAGCAAAAAAATGTAAGAATCCACACATATTATTAGGCAGGTGTAAGGAAGACAACAGGCAGAAACATATATGTTTTTAAAATCACATACAGACCCATTCCAGGGGTTTAGATCTGTTGAGAAAATAATTTCCTCTTTGAGGAGTCTGGCTTTAGCTGCTTCCTGAATTTCTGTGCCTTTGGAAAATGAGATAAAGAAAATGAGGGAGCCAGTCTGAGTGGTGCATGATGCAGATCTGGTATTACACATTTCTCATAGTGTCTAATAGCATCTTACAGATTCCTTTATTTCTGGCAATGTCAAAAATTCCTTGAGAAGATAAGAATAAACCCAAATCCAGGTTCCCCCACTGCACACACTGCTGTGATACCAAGGATATTGTGGGCTTTAAAGCCCAGGCTTATATGACTGGCTAGAGCAGTTGCTTTTGTAAACAGAGAAGCCACAGGACTTCTCAGGGATCTCCTCCTTGGAGCCACCAGTGCTTTTCCGCTCACAAAATTTGTCCTTCTGTCCTTTGTATTCATCTGCACCCCTTGCTCTCCCAGGCTGATGCTGCTAGTTTTATTCCTGGAAACCGTAGCAAAGCATCCATACACAGAGAGAGTCTTTGTTAGCTGAAGTGTTGGCTTATGTTTATCATGTTTGTCCTGTCTCAAGTGTATCTACACTGCTGAATGGAGCAGGGTGGGTGATGAAGCCGATTCCCGCGACAGTTTCCCAGAGGTGGACGTTGGCTGGCTGCACCATTGAGTCCATGTGGAGCAAACAGCAGTGCATTGGGGCTTACACATGTCACGTATCCCCTGTATGGTCACATAGCTCACCGCAATTTCAATTTCAAGCCAATCAAGGCTTTTTTCCCCCCTCTTTTTATGGATGGCATAACTATAATAAATATACTTCTGATGCTGCATTCCCAATGTGTCTCTAAGCCCTGTCTCCCAAGACAGCACCTGGGATAGTGCTGCAGGTATGTGAGCAGCAGAGTGAATGCCCTCCTGTAGACAGCTGTCTGTACTTGCTTGTAGCTTTTTCTTGCATTTCCCTCTCCCAGTCTTGCTGCACTGCAAAAGTAGGTTACTGCTTCTTGATGCCAGTAAACTTGTTAACTGCCTCAGTCCATCAATGCCAATAATTTCTCTGTGATAAGCAATTACCAGACTCATACCACACAGAGTTGGAAGGGGCCTCCTGAATCCAGTTCCTTATTTATAGAGAATCCCTTCACTGAGACCTTTTAGGAAGGCACCAGGGTTTGTCTCAAAACCAGTTGGTGAGATTTTGGGGAGGTTTTGTGTGTTCTTTTGTGCCTTTGGCAAGTGGTCCTGCTGCTTTTGTTGGGAGACTGTTGCAGTCCCCTTGTTTCTCAGTGCTTAAGAGCTATCTTTTAATCGCCAGCTGAAATTTATCTATAACTGTTTTATGACTATCTGTTCTTGGGCCAAAACCTATTCCCAGCTTAAATAGTTCTTTTGTCTTGGTAATGTTTAAGCTGGTATGTATTGGTATTTCTCTGCTTCTCTTTTGATAGGTTATAAACCCCCTCTCTTTTTCTCAGGTAGCTTACCCTCTACTGCTGACCCTCTGTGCCCATACAGCTCGGTGAAAGGGGGAGTATGAGTGTACATGGTATAATGCACGAGCTTGCAGATGAGCCCATGCAGTGACATGCTGCTTCCCCATCTGCACTGAAACTAGCCATTTTGATAACTCTGAAAACCACATTTTCATTATTTAGAGTTATATCAGTGATTGACTTGGTCATGGTGATCCAAGTCCTCCTTTAGCTATTTTTTTGCCAATAAGCTCCCATCATTTGGCAGAAAGTATTACTATTAGTCTCTTGACTATGGCTTTGCCCTTGTCCCAGACAGCTTAGTTCCACTTCTATTGCTCCCCAGTTGTCTAGTTTGTCCTGTGAGGTATCTCCATTTTGCTTTGCATTAATGACATCTCTCAGCCTCTCCAGCAGTCAGTGTCAATGATCTCTTCATTCCTGGATTAAGTCATTAATGAAAGTGCTAAACCAAGACTGGTCCAAGTCCTCTGCTAGCAATCTTTCCCTAACCTGGTCCTTCCCCAATAGCTATGCCCTTACCTTGTCTATAGACTTGCTAATCTCCACTTGTGATTTCAGAAGACAAGTCTCAGCCCTGTGCAGAGGGGGACAGCAGCTGCTCTGCTGGTGGTAACCTGTGAGGGCCAGAACTAGCAGGGAGAAATGGTGTTGGGGGGAGAGATGTGTTTTTATAAGGCCCCCCCCCCCCCCAAAGATCATAGATTGTCCTTGGCCCTGTGAGTGGCATGGGAAGTTCAGAGGGTCAGAGAGGAGCTGTGACATCTTAATGCTTCAACCGAGGCCAGATAACAATAAACCCACAGGCCATACTAGCTTTCATTTCCATCCCTACCCTTCATTATCCTTCCTTTCAAACTTTGTAGGGAAGCTGTTTGTTCTGGAAGATGAACCTCCCAAAGTCTGTCAGGTGCAATTGCATCTCTGCATGTCTTAGCCTTGATCAAGTAGCTTCTTTCCCCCCCTTATAAAACACACCTCTGACATTTGCTGTTTGCCAAAAGTGTTGAGTAAGAAATGTTTGCTGCTGGGTTGGGATTTCAAGTCTACAAATTCTGGAAGAGAAATGTGTTTATCTCCCAAACTCAAGCACACTCACCCACTTGATCCTTGCTTGCATTGTAGAGGTGACAACTCCCAAGCCTTAGCTCCCATTAACTTTTCTGCCTTTGCTTCCACATTATAACTCCTCCTCCTCAGGGAGAAGAGAAGCAAGCTAATGAATGCTTGTGAAAACAAACCCTGTATTAGCCTTAATTTCCATCACGCTCTAATGGCACAGAAACCCCACTTCTCTCTGTGCACATGGGCTTCTCCAGTCCTTACCTCTGGCAGAGGCTAAGACAAGATGGAGTGTGTCAGGTTTGCAGTACTTGAGCTCTCTAAATATTAAGTGACTTCTTGGAGTGTCATTCAAGACCCAAGTTATGTAAGTCAGCATGGGGAGAGTTATGTGGTTTACACAGGCAACCTGGAAAAAAACCACTTGCTGAACAGGAAAAAGCCTGGAGAAGCCTAACAGGAGACTCAGAAAGGAAACTAGAACATTTAGAGCTCATGGACAAGATCTGCTTGTTTGTTCATATTTGTGATCTAGGATCCCTTACTATTTATGCAGGGACTGGAGTGCAAGCTGGGCAACTCATGATCCATTACGAAAGGCCTTATGGCCCTGCAGAAACTGGGCCCACAGAGCTGGCACACAAGCAGCACAGACCCACCTGCCTCTGTGGGGAGCAGGGAGTGCAGGCAGGTGAACCTAGTTTAGGTGGGCACAGGTGGGGCTTTTGGAGCAGCAGATTGTGTGGGAGGCTAATTCACTAGTGGGGAAGAGAGGGAACTGCAGTTATGTTTAAGATGTGCAGCACGAAGATGACTCTGTTTTTTACCTCAGGAACAGCCAGTCTGGAACTTATAGGTAGGTGCAGAGGGATTCCTGGGCTGGCATTGTGCTGT